AGGGCAGTCCTAGGCACCCTGGCAGTGTCTTCCAGAGGCTGAATAAACACAGCAATCTAGCCTGCGGTTTAAAACACACTCATATCATAAAATCTTAAAATAAAAATAAATTAAAACACACTCATATCAACAAATCAGATGCTCCAGCCTTCCCGTCCTCCTGCAATTGGAGGACTTCCTCCATTACTTCCCACCTAGAGTCCTTTCAGCCTCCAGGACTGTGAGAAATGCATTTTTGATTTTTATAAGCTACCCATTCTGTGTTATTTCGTTTTGGCAGCCTGAATGGACTAAGACACCTGGTACGTGCACAGGTGGGGAAGAATGCCTGGTTCCTCATTTTAAGTGACCCTCTTTCCCAAAGACTAGCATGGTACTGCCCTGAGCCAGGTTAAGGTTTAACCTTACTGAAATTTAATAATAATTAATAATAATAAGCCCCTTGAATATATCCCCACGGCCTTATTTGGCACTGGCCGCATAAGCTTAGGTTTGGCCTCGAACATAAGCTCTGTGGGAACTGGACTCCCCAGGTGCCATAGTCCAAGTTTACAGCTAAGATGTTGTGAGTTCCCTGAGCCCCCCCGGCCCCCAGAAGTTTGCTTCAGTCACTTTGACCAGTAGTTATGTAAAAGGCCCACCTCACCAACCCAGCCGACCTGTGTAGGTTCTTCAGGATTCTGGAGCAAACTGGCCCTAACTGAAACCTGTAAATCATTCAAGATCCCGAGTGTACATTCAGGTGCCCCTGGGGATTTGCCTCTCAGGAAGATTTATCCCCAGATGTCAAGGATTTGAAAGAGCATTATTTTCCTTAGTTACCTTCCCTTTAGAGGAGGACTTGTTTTATTTATTTTTATTTTTTGTTTAAAGCAGAGCTGTTTTTAAAAGGCTCATTCTAAAAAGAGATCAAGTCAGGGTCTGTTTTTGACTAGTGGGAATTTTCCTGCAACTAAACTGTGGGCTGTGTTTGAACATCTGCCAACACGGGGGCCACGGCTGTGCCCTTGTAACTCAAAAGTGGCTAGTAAAATCATGAAGGGAAATCACAAAAGAGAATTATGAACAAAATTATCAAAAAGACAAAAAAAAAAAAAAAGATTTTTCTGTAATTAGAGTCACCCTCCAGGTACCAGAATAGAAAATTTGCAGACATAAGCTTGTGTTAGCAGAGACACTTGATGGATTTAAAAGTTTGCCCCAAGTTTAACTGACCGGTTTCTAGTAATCAGTTGTTTCTAATAATGCAAAAAAACTGAGCATAGTTGAGCAAAAGAAAAACCCAAGATCATCTCCTCCATCATTACCTAAAATACAAGATGAAATTGAAAAACTGCCTTTCATTTTTGGTGCATTCATTTTTCAAGCTATTGGAAACTTCAAGAACACACTGTTTTTACATTGGCTTATTTTGTAAATGGTTTAATTAACATAGTGAAAATGTGGTTGTATGAATGAATTAATCATGTCAGGATTCTCCTACCTCTTGATCTGAAGGCAGGATTGCACTTTATCACATAAAGAAATAGATTTAAACATAGTAGGAATAACACTTGGTTATTAAGTCACAAATGTATTTGGTCTTCTGTTAAAAAGTATGCACTAATGGTTAAATGTTACAGCATCTCTATTTTTAAGTATTCAGTACATGGCTGCAACCCAGAGATCATTTTTTCCTGTAGTGCTTTTTACTTATTTATTTTTGGAGAGTTTGGGCCAAATCTGTTCCATCTTTGACCTTTGGGTTCTTTTCTTTTTAGGGAAACAACGATGTATACCTTTCCCAGTATTAAACATACACACAAACTCACATGCATGATAAACAATTCCCAGACTTGCTTTTCTGACAAATCAATCAGTGCTAGCAGACCTTTAAAATGTCAAACTTCTCATTCAGCATGAGACCTGTCACTGTCCATGTGTTCTTTGACAGCACCCCGGCCTTACTGATTGGCATGGTTCCCATGTGTCAGAAGAGTGAAATGTACAAGACACCTATTCAGACCTATCCTGTCCCTGTAATTATTGCAGGGTTTTTTTTCTTTTCTTTCTTTCTTTTTTTTTTTTTTTTTGCCTGGCTTCTTCAGAGATTTACTACTTTCTCAGGCTTCTGGCCTCCCAGGGAGGTCAAAGAGCTTCAAGTTAGTTTGCTTTCCCTCCACTCTTTCAATACCAGGGTACCACCAAACCTTGTTCCAAGACCTTTTGGAGAAGTGCACAGCTGCCTTATGCCACCTCTCAATCACTGCTCACAGGCATGCCCAAAGGGTCAGCCCAGTATAGTTTGCTAATTTTAGAAAGGTGACTTCTCATGATTATCACAACTTTAAAAAATGTTCTTCTAGACCTCATAGCATGAGGAACTGGTTTTGATATCTGACAGTCCTGGGTTCATATTATACCATTTCTTTGCTCTATAAATATGGATATTATTGCATTTCTCCAAACCTTAATGCACTCATCTGTGGTGTGGAAAGGGATGCCATTAAGAATATAAGTTTACTGTGTAAGTTAAGAACTAAGTGTGTATTAGAAAAGAGGAACAGTACATGTACCCATTTGTGTGGCAGTAAGTAGAATTCTCTTTCCCTACCTACTCTATTTTGAATACAAGGATAAAGAATACGCTGGAAATATTGCAAAGCAAGGGAGTACAAAAGGGGATACCCTGGTGATGTGCTGCCCTCTACAAATCAAAGCATTTTATACTATATAGTGACTTCTGCCCAGTAAGTCGGTACGGGGGCCAAGCACATGTCTAAGACAATGTTACTACTTTCTACCTAGTTAGGTATTCCTTTCCTACCTAATATTTGCCTGCAATATGAGGAATTTCCAAATTTCAACATGCCAGTGTCAGCAAGCCATCGAGTTGAAGTTATCCCCTCGTCTCAATGTCAGTAACAGCTCTGAATGTGACCATGTGTATGTTGCATATGAACTATTCATTGAAACTTACTACAGGGAACATCACTTTTATTAACATTGTAACCTGACCAGAGCCCAAGACTCCATGTCCAACACAAATGGACTTTTGGACTAAGAAAAAAAAGTTTTCTACCATCTACTCTTAAGTCCTTGTCTGGAAAAGGACTATCCAGTTAGGAAATTATCCAGATGTGATGATTTGCCAGGTAATCCAATAGCTTATTGATTTTTTACAATTTTTACGGGGATAAGACAAGCAAAGATAAAGACATAAAATTCAAATCAAGCTACCAAGTGAGGTCTGATGTGAGAGAGAGGAGAAAGTCCAGCTTTTCAGTGGGCTCAGAGTTTTCCTGTGGATAGCCTCCCAAATCTGCCCTGCCAGACTGACCACAGCTGGAAATTTATGCTTCCAGAGCCTCTGGGGCTGCCAGACTCAACTCAGTCTCAACAAGCCCAGCATCTGACTCACCACGGACCTTCCATCCTCTCCTTGCCCATGGCTACTGTTTGTATTCTTCTCTTCTAACTGGATACCTTCACACTCACCTTGGACCCTCCTTCACTTTCATCTGCCATTAATCCTCTGACCTTTTCCCTTCTCATTGCCCCGGTGGCTTTCTCCCTCCCCTACTTTCTGTGAATCGGGTCAACGCCCTCATCACCCAGTGCATCTGGGCGATAGCTCCTTGGCTTTCCCTTGCTTCTAACAACTGCTACCCGCCCCCTCCCCCCACCTCCTTGCCAGCAAATGTTTTGAATCCCTGTGGGCGAGTCATGCCTCCGCTCTAGAACTGGCTCTCTCAGCCTCAGTAAATGTTCTTGTTACTAAGATCCTCTGTCTCCGGAGATCTGTCCCTATTTCCTGCCACTCCCTGACCCACTCTTTTATTCTATCCCTTATACAACCCTTTCCTCCCAGCCTGGTGTCAGTGATACTTTTCCCCTCAACTTTTCTGCCCATAATGCCTAAATCCAAGCCTCTTATTCCAATTCCAGGCCAAGTCTACATCTGCCACCAACTTGCCTTAAAATACTTTGGAAACTGCTTACCTTTCCTGTCTCTACACTCCCTCGCTATTTAGCTCCATCCCCTGCACCCCCTCCCCAGGTTAACCCTTACTTAATCGCTCTGTTCGCCCATTAGCCCTGTTTCCCCATAAGAGCGTGTGATGTGAGCATCTATACCATTCTTCTTCATCCTACTCATTCTTCAGTCCCTCCTCCAAGCAGAGGACAAAAAAGAGAGCAATAGTGCCCCTGAATTGGAACTGAGGTTTGGACTCCTGTAGATTCCAACCTACAGCTTCTACCCCCGCTGAGGGTAAATCATTAATTCGAACGTTTCTAACTTTGTTACTCTTCATCACAGTTACACAGGGCCACGGAAGATTTAGTATCGAGGCATTCACATGGCCTACGTGCCTTTGAGAAAGCGCTAAATAAAGGTGTTTTTTTTTTTTTTTTTACCAGTTACCCTGCAGGGGGCCCGGGTGGGGGTGGAAAAGTGTATTGTTGGATTTAAGAACTCAGCCGCAGACGAACACACGGATGGACCCTGAGGGGTCATCAGGCTGCAGAGGTGATGCAAGGAGCCCAGCTTTATCTCGCCTCGTGGTGGGGTATGCTCTCACATTCTTCCATTGAGGAGAAATTACAGCATACTCTCGTCCCATGCGGGGGGGCATAGCTCCCAAAAGCAATGGCCTGAATTGGCATGTGCGAGATTCAGATCGTCCCTGAGATGCGACTGCAGTGGCTAGGCGGGCGGCCGAAGCAGGCTCTTGGCGCCGGCCTCCAGCAGGGGCGCGGGCGGCCCGGAGTCTCCGGGGCTCCCTCCCGCAGCCCGCGGACCCGCCGCTAGGAGGCGCCGTGAGAGCGCCGGGCCCCCTCCCGCTGCCAGAGGAGGGCTGGCATCCCCTCCGCCAGCCCCTGAGCCGGCCGGGGAGCAGGCGGGGAGCAGACCTCAGAGGACGCGCGGAGGAGAGCCGGGGGCTGTCACCGCCGACGCGACGCGCGCACCGACCCAGGACGCGGGCACCTGCGGACCGCCACCCGCCGCCCCCACGAAGGAGCCGGGCCGGTGTCTTGGGCACCCGCTCCCCGGTGAGCACCCGCCGGGGCGGAGGGCGATGTCTGCCGGGGCCCGCCGCGGTCCCCGGGGCAGCCGGGCGCAGCCGCTCGCGCCCCTCTGGTGCTTCTCGGCCGCGCTGGGCGTGCTGTGGACCCCCGGCTCGCAGGCGTTCAACTTGGACGTGGACAAGCTCACGGTGTACAGCGGCCCCGAGGGCAGCTACTTCGGCTACGCGGTGGACTTCCATATACCTGCCGCTCGCACGTAAGTCGCCCAGCGCAGGGAGTTCGCGCGCGGGGGCGAACCCGGCCACAGGCTGGGTCCCTGCCCGTCTGCCGGGGGACCCGCGCCTGTCCCCGCAGCTCGATGGAAGGAGATTCCTGAGATTCCATCCCGCTGCGCACTTGGGGTCCCGTCCGGCTCCCCCGCCTCTTGTCCCCCTTCCATGCTAGATGTGCCTTGGGAACTTTGAAGTAGAGACATGCCACTTGCATAGAAAACGCAAGTCCTGGGGAGCTCCCAGGACGCGAGCAAAGACTCGAGCTCCATACAAAGGGGAGACCGGGACCGAACAGACTCAGGCCGGTTAAAACAACGGACCACAACACGGTCTGTTTATGCATAGTCTGTAACAATTAAGTGTCTGGGCGCAAGTGCTGTCGGCTACAAGCAGCTGGGCTCTGTCCTTTGCTACTTCTTTCCCCTTTTCTCTCATCTCACTGTATACATAGCTCCACCTAGAGAAGAATTGGGACGATTTGCACCCTCTTCAAAACCAGGTTTCAGACGCCCGTAGGTTTCCAACAGGAAATCAAGTTTGACAGTCGGTCTCCATCATAAATACGTTTCTGCCCCCGACCCCCACCCTCGTCTCAGTGAGCACGCCGCTGCGGGAGACTGCATCGCATGTGCACACTTTTATGATTCCCAGGGAGTGATTTTCTCCAATCCTTTTGCAGAGCGAGTGTCTTGGTGGGGGCGCCCAAAGCCAACACCAGCCAGCCAGACATCGTGGAAGGGGGAGCCGTCTATTACTGTCCTTGGCCCAACGAGGGGTCTGCGCAGTGCAAGCAGATACCGTTTGACAACACCAGTAAGTGATATCTGTCCTTCTCAACGGTGGGTCCTGGTTTCAAGGAACCAGAGCCATCCTGGAGTTAATTCCCCATTTTGTTTGTACTTGGTCTGTCTGATGAGTCTGTGTTGTGGGCTGTTCAGGTTCCTAGAGAAATCAGCTTAAGCCTGATTGAAGGCGAGGAAAATGTCGCGTGAACCCCAGAGAGGGAACCTTGGTATTTTGACCTTGAGTATTTGGGTGCGTCCTAGTACCTTCTGTTTCCTTACTGTCCCAAGATGAGCGTTTTCAGGGTGAGTGGATGCTTTGAAGAAATACAAATGTTCCACCCTAACCTTGATTATGGAGAGTTTGGTTGTTTCCCAAGGACAAATCCAGGAAAAGACCGATCCTTAGCATTTCCAGTGCCCAAACTCCCGAGGCAAGACTCAGCTGCTATAAGACCCAGACATCACTCCATGTTGCTGTTTAATTCTTTACAGAAAGAAAGAATTTTCTTTCAAAATATTGGACATTGGAGGCAAACTAGTACAGGCAGAGTGTGGATGGATTACATTCATTTCCAAAATCCCTAGACAGATGTTTCTTATTTAATTAAAGGGAAAATACATTTTAACCAATTCAGGCTGGTTAGGTTTCCTCTCGTGTTTTCTCTTTGGGTCCTGAGAAAATAATTTTACCGTAACGCTTTCTAAAACATTAACACTGAATGTTTTAATTTGTACCTTTAAAACTTTATGAATTCAAAAGGTATACATTATCAGGAACCAAATATCTCTTTTCAGAAAAATGTGAACTCAAATAATGTTTTTTGATGATCAGTCATTTAAGATACCTTTTGCACCACATAACTATTTTTATGACATCATTCTTCATCATTGTTACATTAGTGTGCATTTAGAATGTATGTAGAAAATCCATTTTCACAGCATTTTGGTGAAAGTGGATGGGTTGTATTTACCTGTTACTTTATCCGATTTGCAACCTTCTATCTTAAAAAATAAGATAATTTTGATTCTATCAATATGAAAACCATTTCAAAGGGGAAAAAAATCCTATGCAAGGCTTACCTTGAATTATGACCAAATTAGGAAAATACTTCATAAAAGCATTTTCAAATTATGTTTTTCATATGTGTCTGGATATAGTCACCATAGCTCCTCTACCATTTTATTAAGTAACTCAGTTACTTCGTACCAATTTTCATAAGCTTTTACTTTTAAATGTATTAGAAATTAGAAAAATTAAGCCACTTGATGTTAACTTGTAAAAGATATCTTTTAACTAGTTGTTTAATTGGGATTTTAAATGTTTCTGCTTACTGACCTACCTCTGTTTGAGAATAAATTTTCTAAATCAGGATTAAGCATAAAATTAATGGCTTTTTAAATAATCCATATCAAAACCATTTGTGTTTGTATTTTTAAAAGACTCTAAAACTTAAGCCTTGATAAATAAAGACATAAATCAATAGTATTATTTGAATTTAAGTTAAGGGAAATAAGTATTTACATTTTTAAATCTTGTATTTTACCAAGAAGCAATCTATAGTCATGGACATAAATTTTGTAACCTGCTAGAACATTCCTATAATATCCCAAATCAGGATCTGGTTAGTATATTTTTCCTTTGATAAAAGAAGAACCGATGTCTGCCCAGATAAGTCACATCTGAATACCTTTCTAAGTACTAATCCCAGTAGATGTCATCGTTCAACAGATGAAAACCAGAGAATACAGACATCAATATGAATTTTTAAAAACTGAACACTCCCAACCAAAAAATTTCCAATGTTAAATTACAATAGGTAAATTTTCCAAAAGTTCCTTCTAGAGCAACTGTTTGGAGATCTGAATTCACTTTCCCATGGAGAACTAATGCTGCAAGATTGTGCTTTGGTTTCCAGAACAGCCCACAGGAATGCACTTAACCCTTATTGTAGGGGAGTTATATTTGTAGTGAAACAGTAGGGGACAAACCAGCACAGTTTTAGCAATTAAATAAATAGAAAAATAATAAGAATGTCAAGAAAAGATCAGTGTTACTTGGAGAAAGAGCCAGGGGTGAATGGCATCCCTTCTGCGCAAGTTCTGAGGAAGACATCTGGATCTCTCAAAGGGCTCTAGAGAATAATGCTGTTGGTTCTACACTATATCTTATTTGACTTCTAAATGAATGGAGGTTTTTTGGATTTTTTTGTGGTTTTTTGTTGTTGTTGTTGTTTTGTAGACAGATGCCCTCTTCCTACTATTATACTTAGCAACCATAACTGTAGTGATTTGAGGATTCATAAATGGAACAAAATAAGGGGAAGAAACGGGGAGGGAGATTGATGTTTCTGAAATAATTGAGCAAAAAATGAAGATAAAAAAGAAGCAAGGCAGAGGAAGTCACACGTTTGTGAGAAATGAATGGTCCATGGTGGAATGAACAAAGCAGTGAGCTGGGAAAGCTTGGGGGAGTCCCACTGAGAAGTCTTTTAGAAAAGAAAGTTCCCCATGTTAGCCATCAGGGGGTACTGTGGGCCCAGGAACCTTGGTTGCTGTTGGGAATGGACTGGGAACGGTGGGGCAAAAGGAATCTGAGGACCCCGTGGGCTCCTTGTTGGCTACTGAGTGGGTGCTAGCACGCGACACATCATTTCTACCGATTTCTTTATCCAGGCGCCCCAAACAATGGGGCTCTTTGCAGTTGGAGTCCCTGTTCTTTGGGCACAGTGTGATCTTGGAACCAAAGATGAAAGGCAGAAACACAGGTGTTGCTGACTCTGGGTCTGGCAGTCGATGTTACCACATGCTTGACATTTATTGATCACCTACTACGTACCAGCCACTTATACAACTTATTTATAACCCATAAAACACATTTTATGAATAAGGAAACTGACATCAAAGGTGTTAAAAAAGTTACGTGCAAGACCATACCATGGTAAGCAGTAGACACAGGGTTGGAAAAAAGGTCTGCCTGGAACAGAGTCTGCCTCTTCACCCTGCCTTCCTTCCAGGACTGGGAGAAGTCGGTTCCTAATGGGGAGCAAATTCAGGGTTGGCTCCTATGGAGCTGACGCCCTGCTTGCCCTGCCTTCCCCACCTCCTTCCCCTCAACCCCCAATTACCTTCACAAATTCCAATGAAAATGATCTTCCAGAGAAGATCTAGAAGGGAAAAGCAGTTGGGGTCGAGGGTTGTGGAGAGCAGAGGTCATAGAAGGAGGGCTTTGTCTTGATGGGGATGATAGGTTGTCCACGCCGCTGGTTTGCCACAGCTCCTCACAGCGTGCTATGGCCCCTCAGTGTCCCCAGTCAACGGCCTCCTGTCTTAATCTCTGCCCGTTGGCAGCCATGTACAGTTTTCCCAAAAGAAGAAGAAAATTTCTCTGCTTGACAAAGTAGTGGCTTTGAGTGTTGAGCGCCCACAAACTGATGTTCACATAATAGAGCACCATGTCTCGGGCATAAATATGTATCATACTGCAAATATTCCTCTGAAAAGATAGTCGTGACTTCCCCGTCTTTTCTCCATCTGACTTTACAGTAAATTTGACCTTTTAATGACATTGTTTCAACTTGTTCAAGCCGCCTGGGGTGACTACAATTTAGTGTTCACGGTGGTAACCTAACAAACTCTCTCAACCTAGGCATTGAAGGAGACTGGCCTATAATTTAGTCCCCGAATCTGGTTGTGATCTTGAACTTCAGTTGTAAGGTCAACTGCCTTTTTTCTTTTCTAAACTTCCATTTTGTTCGATTTTTTTTTCATTAAATGATCATTTATTTTATTTTTACCTTATCGCATAACCTGGATCTTAAAAATTACTTCTCATCATGAATGAAAAACCAGGAAGCCAGAAATAGCCTAACACTTCAAATGCATGAATACTATTAAAATCTGTGGTCCTTTCAAGTATGGAGGAGGGAAACCTGAGGGAAGCATATGGTGGTGGGGGAGGTGCCAAGTGCAAAGAGTAGATAATTTTCCTACTCTGTACAAAATCAAGTGCTTGCAAAAAAGCACTTCTCTCATCTCCCGTCTATCTTTCCCTCTTACTTCACTAGAATAAAATCTCCCCTTCACCAAATTGATTTCTTTCACTTTAGCCTCAGGAACTGTCTAGACTGTGCCCCGTGTCTTAAACAATTTAAAACATCACATCTGCCAAATTCATGCCTCTCCTTTCTAAATCTACTCCAAGGTTCATTTCATCTTTTTCCTACATTTTCCAAACCCATGTGTGGAGTAAATAAAACTGCTAGATTAGAGCCCCCCTGCTAAAAGGGGGAGGGAAGAAACAGAATGAATAGAGCCTCATCTTTGGAATGATGAAGGGCAAACTCATGGCAAAGGCATAGTGTGCAAATATCTGATTATTTTAAATACACAAATGAAACATTTTGAGGAGAAAGATAATGGCATGTGCTAATTAATGATGATAATCATCATAACACGAAAAGTAATGGAGGCAAGACAGCTGGGAACACTGGCAATTAGGACCCACATGAAGAATGAACAGGAAGAGGTGGGCGGTGGCATTGAGATTTGGAAGTCATCTGAGAAAAAGTACTAGAATTTGCCTGGCCTTAATTTAGTACCTTTGTGTTTAAAACAACAACAACCACAACAAAATGAAACCCTAAAATGGAAGACAGTTTGGTTAAGATATTTCAAAGCTCTGTAATGGTAAGATTTTTGTTAGAATTGTGTTTTAGCTTGGGGACCGGAAGCCTTTGGGTGAGGGGGTCTGTTTTATTTTGTGTTAAGTGAGCCCACAATAAGAAGCAGCTTAAAGCATCTGGCACTGTGACTGGTACAAGGTTGCTTTTTGATAATATTGGATGTGCCCTTTTTCTCATGTGAGGGTTGGGAAACATATTGGTCGCATAAGTCTTGCTTTTTCCAACTTCCTCAGAAAGAAATCAGGTTTTGTTCAGGAACAAAGAGAAGAAAAATGTAGGTCAGAGCTATCAAGTAAATGACAGAGGAAATAACACAAAAGTGACAGAACTCATGGACAGCAGAAAT